CCAACATTTGCCCATGTCACTTAACTCTTCTACTCATCTTATCTTTGTTATACCCACATCAAAAATGCCTTTTTTTTTACATGGGCTTTCACACTAATTGGTTAAGGGTCTGTTTATTATGGGGTCAACTCGGGCCAAGGGCTTACATTTACTCCGAAGGATTTCCAAACAAATACATAAATAATTGTGCTTGTTCAATGCATAGAAATGACTTGCATGATGGCATGTTTTGATCAGAAATCTTGCATGATTTATCATAGTCCACAAGACACTAATACTCAGACCACCGCCGGTGGCTCGACTGTACGATCAAGACATTGTCAAAATTGAAGGAGTTGAGAGTCAGGAGTTTGTTTGTTTAACAAAGATAAGACGGGGGTTGATGATCGAACATCGTTAACTCGCGACACTCGCTGCAGTGTCAGGTGACTTTGCGCACACGGTTGCTCGTTGGTAATATTCCCGACAGAGTCGATCAGTAGGTGAAATCCAAATCTTTATTTGCTGCTCTGGAGATTTTGAGTGTGACGGATGTTTGTGTGTATCTTAGGGATCGAAAATGTTTGTAAATTTGGACTAAAGTAATATCAAAGGTGCAACACTTTGAAACTATTAAGGCTTATAATTATGATTTTTTTTCTTTTCTTTTTTAATGCACCAACATACTGCACCATACCATTAGCCTATGGTTTTTTGTGAGCAGGCATTTAAGGAAAACCTATGGAGGGCTCGTTGTGGTTGGGGGATTTTAAAGTATGGCAAACTCCTTTGTGTTTCTGATGTTTCACCCTGTGTTCAAAAAACAAAAAAACAGTTCAGTTTACGGTTCTGTTCCCTTGATTTGGTGCCATATGTCCTGTTTTTATTATTTAAGTCTTTTACCTTTGGGTACAACTTTCTAAGCCACATCTGAGAGGACGCCGCGGGGGGAAGGACTTGTGCTGGAACATACAGTATATGCTGTGTACGAGAGTTGTATCCTGTGTTAGTCAGGAGGAGAATATGGTGAGCGGGTGATGATAACATTGTGTGTGGTGAAGCCAAAGAGATCTGCCTTGTTATCCCTTGTTGCCCTTCTGTCAACGGAGTGGGACTGGGCGAAGTAAGCCCCGCCCATTCTGTTCTGTCACTGTCATTATTAGACAGAGAGACCCTTGAAATGTATGCAATGCTTGAAAAATTCATCTGTTTTCTCAGGAGATTATATAGATGTACTATTGTGAGCTCTGCAACAAAATGCAAGTGAATGTGATGGGAGTATTTATAAAACCACGTTTTACTCTTTTGTGTTTTATGCCATGTTGAAGGACAATGATCCGGGCCGGGCGCCTCGTCCCCGGTAGCTGCCCGGTCAGGGGCTATTTTAGCGCTTACTGCTTATGATGCCTAGAATTATAGGGCTAGTAGCATCTCGGCAAAACTGCAACATTTTGCTCACTTATATTGCTAGCGAATTACATTTGTGGTTAAGTCACTACGGGCAGCAAGCTGGTCAAAAATTCATGTCAGTCAAAAAACAAAAACAAAAGAAAATCGATGTTCACCCCAATAGTAATCACAGATACAGGAAACACTGAGGAGATGTCATGAGAGTGATGTGGGTTAGGCCGGTTGGAGTAGCACACTAAATTCCCTGCGCAGAAGCAGAAGCAGACGTGGCATGTTTCGTGGACGGGCCCCACATTTACCAACCGAGCGCTCCGAGCCTCCTGATTGTCTTTTTTCTTCACACTGCTCTACTGCATACCAAATACCAAATAACCAACAGAGCACTGGATGCTTTTTATGGTACTGTGAGCCTAAGCACCACATCAGCGCTTTTTGCACTTCTTGTTGTGCAGTGATGTCACTTCCTGTTTATGAATTACTCCCTCATCCGTTTACCAAGTTTTTTCCGTCCAGTTGCTGCATGAGATCTCCAAAATCAGTGTGGGTGTTTAAATTGAACCAAATAAAAACTCTGAATGATAAGCATTAAAGCTACTGCTGTCCATTTTCTCCAGGATTCCACCGATTAACGTATATGTATTTGACAAAAAAAAAAAAGAAAAGAAAAAGGCCTATAAAATAAATCATACGTTTGGAAGAAAATCTGAAATACAAAATTACACTCCCGTCTATATGTGGCACAAACTGCAAAAGTTATAAAGAGGACTTTTAAAAAGAAATATATATATATATATAAATACTGTAAAATATTATTTTAACGGCATGTGTAGTTTTTGTACATACTTAACTACTTAAAGAAAAACTACAGCTATTAATCTAACAGTGAATATCAGTAACATTTGTAGAATGGCTTCCAGCTGACACCCTTCGTCACACTCATTAGGCTGTGACCCATTTGTTACACCGAGTAGATTTTTACGTTCAGTCACCTTTTTACAAAAAAAAAAAAAAAAGGGGGAGTGCGTTAAAAGAATATATGTTAAAGCATACGTTCTTTTTAATTCTGTATAAATAATTACAAATATACATATGCAGCACTATGTATTATATATAAAATATACTTTCATAAAGAATATATTCACAATATCTATAAAAACAACTCTCCTGTCCACTCCTTGCACTGAGGTGAAAGAACTATTAGTTTGAAGTTTTTCTTGTTTTTGTTTTTTTTCTTTCTTTGTGTTTTTGTGTTTTGTGTGTGGTAAGCTCAGAGAAAACTGTGTTTTTGTGTGTGGTAAGCTCAGAGAAAACCCCAAAACTCTGCTCTGCCCACGCAGTACTTCCTGCGTACTGGGCACCAGCGTACGATGCATGGTGTTGTTCTGGCTGCTTCTGAGAATTGTGGAGCCTGCTTTTTGGTGAGAGGATTGCACTACCAGCATACCCTTTTGTACACGTGTGACGATGTCTTGCCCCTTGTTCCCTATTCTGTACCCCGGAAGTTCTACGTACATAACGCGTTCACGCAAACACTCAACTCGTTCCTCAGCATTTCGCAGGGCAGCTGGTGAACTCCGGAGTGTCCCGGTGTGAGCCGCCGCTCACTTTGAATGAGAATTCTGTCTGTGTTTCTGCTCTAACCCTGTTCCATGTTTCCACCTGACACACACTGAACGCTGCAGTTTGGAATCTCCATCTTTACTTTTTAACTCCACTTTCAAAGAGAAAAAAAGGGGGTTCGTTGTCTTAACTGTCTGTGTGTTTGTTTATGGTGCAATATCTCTTAATGGCACGTGCCTTTTTTTAGCTTCCTATTTAGTCTGTCAGTAAAAATCCGCTTCCAGGATCTCGATCTGAAGTGAGCGCCGTAGGAGCCACGTTCTGAGTTCAAAATTTAACCTGTAAACTGAAAACTCACCGCCTAGATTAGACTGTTTGGACTAACATCATGTAGAACTGTATAGTACAAGTGCTCTCTCTCTCACTTGGTTCTCTTCACTGGCTCTCGGCCCTTTAAGAGAACGGCTTGGCCTTCTGTTTTACACCTAGGTTCATTTCAAATGTTGGTTTTCGACCGTCGGTATATGAGGCCCTTCTTTTTGTAGCATGATTGAGAAATTTCATTTCTTTGCTGAAAAATAGATAAATTAAAAAAACAAACAAAAAAAAAACAACAAACAAACAAACTGAAACTTACTGCTGTCATTTCTTGCCACTAATACAGTCAGAGAGAGAAAACGTGTGTGTGTGTGTGTGTGTGTGCACAACCACATGGGACAATTAATGAGAATCAGTGAAAGAATGTCTTCATTTGAGCACGAATTTCCAAACAATAAAGCAGCCTTCCAGTTATAAACCCCGACTGCTGTCATTATTATTGTCATTATTGTTAATTAAAAAAAAAAATCATTATTATTATTATTAATATTGTTGTTTTTCCAGTGAATGTGTTTTGGTGCAGGCAGCAGAGGGAGGGCTGCGACCAGTGTGTGTCGGTGTGTGTTGGGCGCACACACTGAATGTATGTAAGGAGCACTGACGGAGGGAGGGAGGGAGGGAGGGTGAGGCTGTGTGTAAGACAGCACTGCAGTGCAGATAGATGGATGCACTGGCCCAGGCTGAGTCAGCAGCACGGTCCCTCCAGGCTCAGACTGTACGGTGCACTGGAAAGAACAGAAACGGAGAACGAAGAAGAAAAAGGAAGTTAGGACGACGAACAAACACAAACACACACACACACACACCCTGTGTGTGTGTGTGTGTTTGTGTGTGTTTTTCATCCATTACTACCAGCACTGCAGGCAGACTACAGTTTGCAGCTGTATCCGTTACAGCGAGCTCACGTTACACCATTCACAACGCCGCGCTCATAAATAAACAGATGTGATTACATCAGACATTAGTCCTGGGGAAAAAGAAAAGCATGAAGATTCACGTGAACGTTAAAGTCTCTGCCCTCATCTCTCCCTGCTCTGACCTGTATGAGATGCTGTTTTCCAGAAGGTTCTCTGTGCTGCGTCTACTCTGCTCTTGTTTGTCCCTCTTTCTGATTCTGTCCTTTTGCATTTTGTATCAAACGCAGCTTTGTTGCAGGGGAGGAAACATGGATTACAAGTAGGACATCGGTGTGATCTGACGGTCTGCTGAAGGTGGAAATTGGATTATGTGTGTGGGGGTGGAGGGGGAGAGGAGGGTGGGGGTTGGGTGGGTGTGTATTTCTGGTTGGTGCAGTAGTATGTTTAGCTCAGTAACTTTCTTTATGATGACGGTATAATAAAAAAAATACACTGGTTAAAAATCAATTCACTCTGTACATTTTCCATTTGGCAGGACTTCATTCTTTATTAATTTTTTTTTTTTTTTTTACCTAGGGATGAGAAACGAGTGCTTGAGTGTTCACTGTGGTTTCTTCTGGAGGAGACGGGTCTGGACCACAGGAGGTCAGGCATGTACACACATTATGTTCATTTTGCTTTGTCATTGATCCCAGTCTGATGCTAACCTGCTTTTACATGTTTTTTTCTCCTTCTCTTTTTTTCCCCAAACTGCCCTGGAGAGTCCTCTCAGCAGCAGTCAGCAGCAGATTCCACCTCAGACCCTTTGAAAAAACCTTTCCCCAAACTGCCCTGGAGAGTCCTCTCACACACATTCAGCAGCAGATTCCACCTCAGACCCTTTGAAAAAACCAACAAACAAAAACAAAATCCTCTGACTCCGTAAGTCTTTCCCTCTTATTTTGGATGACGTCATTCTTAACTTGTCATGAGAAATTTGCCACGTGGTGGTTGAGTGGTTGGCACTTGAATTGGTTTGAACCCTGGTGTTACACTGTTGACTTTTTACATGGAGGATGGATGTTCTTTCAGTGTGTGTTTTCAGGTCATTAGAAAAACAAAAAAGAAATACATGGTCGGTCCATTAAAATGTCTAAAATGTCAGTTATCAAATATCATAATATATTCTTTACGCTTTTTAAGAGAGCGTCAATGAAATTAATTCAAATCTCACCACATTAAAAACATCATTAAATTTGAATTCTAATTCTCTGCTAATTAAAGTCACATGCTTTTTTTTTTTGTAGTGTTTGAATTTTATTAATTTGTCACCACAGATTGTGGACTGTTGGATTAGAACCTCAGTGGTGTTTCTCAACTAACTTCTTAGACATCCATCACCCCCTAGCGGCTATGAAGGACAATACTTTGAGACGACCATGAAGCTTTATTTTTTTTTAAATACATGGTCATCACTGACAAACAGGAAGTTGGAAACCTAGTCTTAATATATGTTAAAGTCTTCCCTCGACCAGAGATAAAATAAGTTTAAACATTGTTAAATTAAACTTTTCTTGAGCCAATTACCAGTGCCTCCGGTTTGACCCTTGTTTACCAGACGTCAAACATCGACGCTTCTGTAGTCGTGCTCTTACTCATTAAACATAAGTACCTTATTATACACAGTACCTAATGTACTGTGTATAATATTGTTGTGTCCATATATATCTGCTCTTACACAGAGCATATACACAGTACCTAATGTACTATGTATAATATTGTTGTGTCCATATATATTTTTTAAAATCGTTATTTTAACCGTATGTGACTGTGTTTGTGGTGGAGACGCTGATGGGGTTGTTGTACTTCTCAAAGTAACCCGCTAGGCGGCAGTAGTACTCAACATTTCCGTTTGTGATTCGGGCTCGGTGTTTTTCCACGGGCAAAAGACCAAAGATAGAACAAAACGACATATATTTTTTTAAATCCTGCCTGAAACTGCCTCCTATTATTTATCGTGGACAGAAAGAAATGCAGATAAAAAAAATAGTTAACCCTAAATACACATTCTTTAAAGAGTACAGGAGCTGGTCTACGGTTGAATTCCATGAAAAAAAAAAAAGATTCACTAATGTTAAGAGCAGTCATGTCTGAACTGCCAAGTGATGTCACTGGGTAATAATGGCTGGTTATTGTTTTGTGCTAGGAGTGGCCACATCTGAGGAGACAAAAGTTTCAGACGTCTGTCACACGCCAGCACATGCCCTCCAACCCTGAGACAATGGAGCCGCGAGAGGAGGTGTCCACAGGAAGAGGGTCAGGTCAGAATCCTCCTTTCTCTCACAGTTCCTTTATTCTCCACTCTCCATACAAATGTGTGTGTGTGTGTGTGTGTGTGTGTGTGTGTCAAAGAAAACTGCCTTTTTGTGTTAGTCGACCCACACCCCCCTCCAGTTGAAATACTACTGAGAACCTGATAATGTGTATATGTTTATCTGTACAAACCAATGTATGCGTTGCTGCCACCTAGTGGCTGGAGGCTTGTTGTCATTCAATACAACCAGAAATATATGGTGATGTTGTCATAGTTGTGTCATGGTGACTCCTGCTGACCCTGGAGTGAAGTGCTGTGTTGGACCAGGTGTAAAACTAGTGCAGAACTCAGTAAACAGAGCAACACGGTGCAGGGTTTAACAATAGTATATTTTTTAGCAAAAACTAAGGACAATCAAATCTCAAACATTTTTGGTTTTTCACAGACAAAAAGACAAAGTCAAGGTTTTTTTTTTTTGGTATGATATCTTCATTTCATTGACACAACAGTCTTTAGTGAGGTAGAATAAAATGAAAAGAAATGACTCCTCTAAGGAAAAGGTAGGGTTCTTTTTTTTCCCCCAACTGTGATTGTGGAAAATAATGCACACAGTCGACTCAGACCAGGAACTACAGACACAGACTCTCACTGAAACCTGGGCTGCCAGCGGGAACAGATGGAAATACAGATGTATGTCATAAGAAAAAAAAAAACAAAAAAACATCTGCACTTATTTAACACCTTGTGTCCCAAGAATTGTGACAACAATCTTTATTTTTTTTCTCATCATTTCTGCTGGACGCCAGGGTTTCTGACTTTACTTTACTGCACGTCAGAGAAAAGTCGACCTATCCCTTTAAACTGGCTAATGAAATGACATGAAATAAATATTTCAAAGGTATGTCTTCAGAATGAGGTAGAAATGGTCACAGAAAAATGTACAAGATACAACAAAAGTACAAGTGAAGTCACAAAATTAACACTGAAATTCATTTGGACAAACCCAACACCGTACGCAGTGAATCGTGAGTAACGCCAGCGATACGGCGAATACTGTCGCGTGCCGCCGTGTGTCAGCAAATTCCTCGTGTGATGTTGAAGAGCATTCAGGGTTGAAGTTAAGCGCTTGGATTTTCTTTACTTTTTTTTCTTTTATAAAAACACCTTAGTTAAAGGCTTAACCTGAATTTTCTAATAATCCTGCCGTCGTCAGCATATATTTGTTTTAAACTTAGAGTTTTAAGTCAATTTTATGAATGTGCGTCAAAGTACTTTTAGTGTACTTTGTCAGTGTACTTTTTCATCACACCTGAATGTTAGGCAGGATGCTGAAAACGTTGTATGGCACCAATGTTACGACTCAGAGAAAGACGTTTGTTTCCGGTGACGGCACAGATTTTTACATCTTTTATTTGTGTCCGTCACGTTTTTTCCCAACTTCTTCAGGCCGTGAATACATTAAAGCTTTACCAAAAAAAGCGGTTTTTAAAAATACTGCGGTGACCAGTGGAAGTGGGACGCTGAAGCACAGACGTTTGCCTTGTGATATGTCAGAGGTTGTATACGTGGAGTGCTTTGTTGTGACTTTTTGTCCACCAAACCTACACTAATACTTAACGTGTCATTCATTTCATCAAAAGCTAGTAGAGAATTACATCTATACATGAAGAAAAAATATGTTTCCTTATATCTAAAAACATAGTCGATGTACAATATGGCATGTATTGTCATTTAAAAAAAATATTTGAATTACATTCAACATTTCAGGCCTTGGTACAAAAAACCTCAAGTTTAATTTCACCAGAGCTAAGAAGCTGTGTGTGTGTGTGCGCGCGTGTATGTGTGTGTGTGTACATGCACATGTATGTATATGTGTATATTCTACTCATAATATCAAAGGCCTACGGTAAGATTTTTTTTTTTTATTTTGCAGAAATATCTTCTTCTTTTTTTTTACGTTGACAAAGCCGTGGCTCCCCTTTCAATAATTTTTCCCGATTGGCTCCGTACAAACCCCCTAAATTTAAAGCATACATTCTTATATCATCATTCTGAGGTAACAATATTCTTCCTGAGTATTCAACAACAAAATCTTATAAATCATCCTTTAACAGAAGCAAAGGTAAAAAGAATGCATATTTAAAAAAAAAAAAAAAAAAAAAAAAAAGACTAAGAGCCAGAAGACAAGCAGGTACATTTTCATGAAGCGTGGAACGCTTGAAGCTGACGTCTGGTCGCTGCGTCTGAACAGGAATACCTGTGAACGCCTCGCTGTGAGTGAGTGTGAACAGTGTCGTTACAATGTCATGTCTTGATGATATTAGTGGTGAAAAAAATACCTGTTTGTTTCAGGATAGAAAGCGGCCTGTAAACACCAGCCATGAACGATGGTCTGCATGGTCTAAACCGTTAGATTCATTCTCCTCTCCTTCATTTTAGAACTTTTAGTCTGAGGGGAGGCGTGTGGTGTTCACCCTCGACCTACGGTTTGATGAGCAGCTGGTTAAAAACTAATTCATCGACTACAGCAGACTAAGGACAGCGGGGCAGGGTGTAGAGGACTCGAGCCGTGGCCGTGAGCGTTGTGACGCAGCAGTGATTGTGCTGAAGTAGTTTGGCGTTTCCAGTTATTGCTCTCCGTAGTTTTTGGTCAGTAATGATTTTTTTGTGTGTGTGTGTTTGTGGTTTATTAGAACACACTGCAGTCAAAGGCCTTTCACACACATCATGGCTACAAATAATTTTACACCATTTCTAATTCTGCGACATTGCAGTGCTGTTGCCGCAGTAGCAGAAAGGAAATAAATAGGATCCTGAGAGAAACAGACACTCCACATAAAGACTCTAATAATACTACGTATGCAGAGAATGTCTCAACCTCACCCCCTAAGACTGACCACGATCAGGGTACAGGCCGACAGGCCCGAGTGAATCTTTGGAAAAAACACACATGATGAAAATATTGAAGCTTCACGAGGAGCCGCGTCCGCGTGCGTTCTTGTCTCTGCTGGTAAAATGAAACATTTCATTGATACGTCCAATCTCATCCCCCTAAATATATTTGGATTAAGGACCAGGATCGCTTTGTGAGAGCGATGAGCTCCTCTTCAGCGGCCTCCGGCAGGGTCCTCGGGTCGAGGGTGCGATGCTGGTATCTTCATAGACATTCTCTGCTGCTGAGAAAAGTTGTGCTCCCCCGATACGCTCTCTCCGGCTAGACCAGATGATGGGCTGTAGTCCCCTGATCCACCATACGGGGGCGACAGCAGAGGTTTTCCCGGTTTGTACGCCAGCTGGTCTGAGCCTGAGTCGCTCATGTGGTAGCCGTTGCCGTGACCGTTGCCATGGCTTTTGCTCTGACTGTTTCCTTGACCGTTGCCGTACTTCCTGTAGCGGGAGCCTTCCACCTCCGCCCCCTCCTGTCCCTCCTGTGCCATCTCAAAGGCCTTACGTTTCAGGGCCCCCGCCGCCTCCGAGCCGGCACTGAGGCCGTGGGATGCGTAGCTGTAACCTCCCCCCACCATGGTGGGTCTAGGTGCAAGAGGGGTTGGAGCGTTAAGCCCAGAGGGCAGGTAAGAGGCACTGGGGTGGCTGTATCCAGAGGACAGGCTGCTCTGAGGGTAGCAGCCCGGCGGGTAGTTGTAGACTGGAGTGCTGGCGCTGTAGCTCGGTACTAAGGTTGGTGGACCTTGCAAAGAGTGAAGAGTGGCAGGGGGAAGTGCTGCACTGGGCTGAGGGCAGTATCCTGAGGACAGGTAGGTGCTGTTGTAGGCGGGGGGGTATTCCTGAGATGTTGGGGCGCCGCAGGAGTTCGCCCCACTGTAACTGGGCTCAGAGGCCAAATTACTGCTCACTACTGTCACACTTCCTGTGGCGGGGATGCCCACGGACGCTGCGCCCACTTTGGTGCCAGTTATCGCCTCAAGTCCAGGGTAACAGTCCACGCTCTGACCTAGAGACCAGGGCTCCGATTCAGCTTTCAGGAAAGTTCCAGGCTCAGGGTAGGCCCCCGTCGGGGGGCGTTCATAAGGGAGTTCGAGTCCAGAGTACTTTTCGGCGTAGCGTTTAAGGAGAGAAGAAGCAGTGAGGGCTGATATGTCATCGCTAGCCCAAGGGTAACCTGCAGTGCCGTAGCCACGGCGAGCAGCTGATGTGTAGGGGTCGTGTTTGTGACCAGACGGGGGTGAAGTGGTCGAGGTGACATCTAGGTGCTGCTCAGGCCACTGAGACAAGGGGGCGTTGTGCTCCGGAGACCAGTGCATCTTCAACAGACCTGAGAAAAACGGAGATGGAATTTGGATTACAACAAATATATAACTTTTCATTAGGACGCTTCTCGTCAGAAATGTGTGCACATGGCTAAGATGCTACTTGAAGGATGAAGAAGAGCTCCCCCTAGAATCAAAGGAACGAACCTAGCAATAAAATAGCATAGAAGATTAGCTTAGCTTAGATAAACTGTTTTGCTAAATACAGAAAAACGTAGGTGAAAATAAAACAGTAATGTTGTTCTCTGCTACAGGCTGTTACATCGGTGTTCATATCACCCTCTGCAGGCGAGGAGGTGGAGCTACATCTCCTTGTGTGTGAGCAGTTTTTTAAGAATAGTTACAGACTTCATCATTGAATCAAAGTAACCAATCGAGTAAGAGGATTCACTTTTAGAACATCCGACCTCCGCAGACACAATGACAAACACTTTCCAGAATCGTGTTGTTTCTGATTCAGTGCTTTTTTACACAGTCTCATCCAGGCAGGGGACAACTGTCCTAATCTTTTTATGAAGCCGACGACATAGCCCCCGGCCTGGTCTCCACGGCGATAAGCCTCTATCAGCCAGTGCACTGCCCTCTGCCTTTGCTTCTCTCACATTGGGGCCATTGTTGTCTCTTTGTGAGACTTTTAGTCCACAAAGCCACCCCCACTGAGCGTGTGATCTAATTCGGCCAAAACCTCAGGGGTCTGCTGGACAGAGGAGGGGGGTGGGGGGGCAGAAGGTGGGGTCAGTTTGAGCAGAGGGAGATCAGGATAGTTTCTCCCAAATTTACACAGGAGACGGGGTTGACGTGTATCAAGAATGTGTTTGTCGTAAAGACTCAGAACGTATCAGTTTTCAGAACCACGTGTCGTTCCACAGGAACAGTCGCACAAACAGCCCAAAACCATTGGTTTAGTGAACGCTGGCTTGTCCGACTGGCGTTAAGCTGACATTCCAGACATTGCAGAGTATTATTAAACTGTCTTGACCCCAGGCCTGGACCTGAGGAGGGCCTTGAATTTAGCAGCAGTACATAAAGAGGTTCTACAGCAGGACATCCAGCTCAGAGGGCGGGGCCACAGGAGATGGGACGTCTTTGAGAGATATCAGAGTGAGGGGTTAATAATAATAACTTTGCCTTTTTGATTAAAGAAAAAAAAGTAACAGTAACTTTTTATTATGATTAGCAGTAATCTCTCTAAGATAAGGTACTTTTGCAGGTTATTCCAAAATGTAAAAATTGTATTAATAATAAATATTTGGTGTATTCAGTATTAAGAAAACAACAATCATGTTTTTACGCTATTTTGTTTTGGAAATACATTAGCACATGTTTTTATGCTATTTTGTTTTGGAAATACATTAGCATAAAGGCTAATAACAGCTCTGAGGTTTAGCCTGGTGCCTTTATTTACTGTCGCTGACGCCATCGTACGAATCAAAAAAACACCCTCCTGTTCTTTGGTCTTCTGAATGAGGCACATTTAATTCTTAACGTTATATGGCAGACGATGAAGGACAAAAATAAATCACACCCTGACATTTTTACTTAACACTTAAATTGTAGCTTACTATTAATGTTGCTTTTTTTTTTTTTAAAGACACACTCACTGCTTCTCTCTCACACGTCTTCAGTCTGAATCTTACATTTACATGTGGATTATTTCAGGTTGAGTCACATGTCCACGGGGACTACCAGATGGGCCAGTAAACGGTCCACATCCCTAAATTAAATGATCCTTCAGCCTAATAATCCCGCTCATCCAATCCAGGGATCGCAGAGCTCCCGGCAGGCGCAGGCTTGAAGCTGGATGTAAGAAATCTCTGTGCTCCAGGGATTTCCAGCCAATCAGAACACACCGTAACCACAACAGCTAAAGCTAAAGTGTAGTAGCATCGAGTTTATATTGAAGAGAACCCCGGGCCATTTAGTGATGAAGACAGTGATGATGATCAGTTGAACTTCATCAGTTACTGTATATGGACTTTATGGTAAATACTTTGTCACAGAGTGACCAGATAAATGCCATTTCAACAGTACATTTAATATCACATTTCACAGGAAATGTAACCTACAGCTGTCAGTGCTATTTTTGTTATTATGGATCTAAGAGTTTATTTATATTATCACAAAGTTTAAAGAACAGTGAGAATATTTAAAGTATGTGAAGTTTCTACGGCTTGTCGTAACAAATCACCTCTTGATAAAGTACATGTGTGACCATCAGACTGGTACTCACAGGGCATGCTGATGGTAGACATGTCGACCAATCACTCGCTGCTTTACCTTCAATCTACGCCTCACACCCGTCCGGACCAGATGGTCTATAATCTAATGTCCAGCATATCTGAGCAGAGGGATCGGAGCCCCTGAAAACCTCATCAAGACTCGGTGGACGAATGAAAGAAACTGAGCAGAATGATGGTCTGGATGAGTTAAAGGACCAGACTGTAAAAATCAGACTAATGAAGGATTAGAGCACACGGGGATTATGGGAGTGTCGACGCTCGGTGACAAGAATTAAAGCAAGTCCAGCTCCTTATTCTTTCTGTCGGTCGGAAAACATACAGTAAATGAAGTGGATGGTTGACTCTCTTACAGTTATTAAAACGTAACGGTGAAGATTATAAAATTGAGCGGTGACTCTGTTACAGAGATATTCAAACGTAACGGTGAAGATTATAAATTTGATGGAGTAGAATGAAGCCGTTTTCATCAAGTCGACAATAAGAAAAAAAAATACATAGCAGTTAAAAATAAATAATGCCGGGTCTGAAGTCTGTTAGTGTCCAAATAAAAACTTTTCACATGACAGGACGCATTTTATATATGGATTTATGTGAAATTGTAGGAACTTTTGTAAAGTTTTCTACAATATTTTAAAACAACATGTTATCAAAAATATTTAGTGAAACGTGTACCTGATCTTCGTCTGAAACGTCTGAATTAGAAATTAGATCAATTTTATAATTTTTTTTTCATTCTACTGTGAACTTTTCATATTAAATTAATTTTTTTTTTCATTCTACTGTGAACTTTTTCCTCACTTTTTGTAATTCAAATAGTTAGTAATATTTAAATTAAACTGATATTTTTATATTTTATATTCCTTCAAAAATGGTTAAAATGACAACAGTTTTTTTTCACCCTTTCTGCACATCAAAAAAAAAATCACAGGTCAGATTTTGGACCAGATCTAGGGCGAGTTTGTTTTTCTAAGAAATGTCCACATGTATTACAGTCTATGTTTTAGCACTGAAGCATCAGACATCTGTGTTAAAGTGAGGATTTTAGGGACCGGGTTCTGGGTATTAGGGGGGATGAGTGAGGGAGCCCCAGACACTAATCTTGCATCTCATGCTCGGGGCTTGGAAAACGCCCCTCCATTCTTGGCCATGCTTGGCTTACAAGAGACAAAGATGAGCACTAAGCCAGCCTGGTGCTCTGACAGTTTTCCTTAATCATTGAGATTATCATACTGTCGACCGCTGCTGCTTTTCCTCCGGGTCTGCCCTCTGGCTTTTTGGCTTCTGATGAATGGAACGCCGTGGAAAGATAAAACCAGAGAAGCAGAAACCTGAAAAAAGGTCAAACCTTTGAGGCTGTGCAGCTGAGAGTACATCAGAATGTCAACTCTCTGTGATGCTGAGTGCTGCATGTGTTTTAGACGACCTATTAGATCGTTAATATTAGAGTCGTTAAACACTGTGTACTCAAAGCTTGGTTGAAGAATTGATTTTTTTTTAAAAAAGTAAACCTGATTTTCTGCTTCTTTCTTTTAAATAACCGCAAGGTTGCAGGTTCAATACCACCTAGACCCTCAAATCCCATGGTTGGGTTGTGTCAGGCAGGTCACCTGGTGTTAAATCTCCATTCGATAAAAAAACAAGTGCCCTTTAACTTTCCATCATTGATTGATTCACCTTCTGCTACATCATATTTTTCAGGGTTTCAAGGGTTGGAGTCGGCTTTAAAGTTCAACAACGACTCACGCTTAGTCAACCAAAAACTTTGACTTTAATGAACTATTGTTGTTCTTATTATTCTTACTTATTGATGTCGTTTTTCCTCCTCTTATGTGAATGTTAATGTCCTTCCATTTGGTCAGTCTAGGCTTTTATATTTTCTTATTTTCTGAAATACTTTCTTTGTGATCTTGGGAAGCTGCTCTGGTTTTTATAAATTTTATTTACAAGCTGAATAAGTAGATCGCAAAGGGAGTAATGGTAGATCATGAGCATTTAAAATAAATTTTTTTTTTTTTCTATATTAAACCTCTAGAGGGAGATTAGCAACAATACATTATTACATCATCAGTGCCATAAAGCTGCAGCTGTTTAATCAATGTATAATGACTATATATAAAGTATATTCCGCTCATATGGATAAATATATATTAAATAAAAGGTCGATCACTTTGCTCTGGTCTTTTTAAAAGTAGCTCCTAATCCAACACAGTGTTGACACCCGCTGGTCCACAGGACAAATCTAGTTTGAATCTTCCGTGTATAAATCATTCTGACTATTGTCCTTCTACTTGACCTCATGCCACAAAAACTGTAGGTGACCTCAGATCTACCATCATGTTCTCTCACACTGTAGTCAAGACCCTCTAACAACAGATCCTCAGGTTGAAATAAATGGGGGAGGAGGGGGGAGACGAGGGGGGGGGTGTGATTGTAAACTGCAGCTGAATCAATCCAATAAGGAAATGGACTAAATGTGAGTGACCATCAGGGACCGGGTCAGCGCGTGTTTCCATAATGACTTCTCTTTGTATTCATTACCTCATCACGTCGGTTCCTTCTAGAACAAACCAAACCAAACCCCAGTCTTGATAGTCAGCAGTCCTCTGTCGGACTCGTGGTCCACTGCGTGGTCAGTATGAGTAATTAGAGGTTAATTACATGAAAGTACACGTGGGGGAAGGGGCCGGCCTGGGATAGGATTTGGGGGTTGTGCAGCATCAGAGCCGGCTGACCGGTCGGTCGGTCGGTCGGTCGGTCAGTTGTTA